TCAATAGTAGACTAGGGTGACTATAGTTACCAACAGTATATTGTGTATTTCAGATTAGCTAGAAGAAAGGACTTGAAATGTTCCCAACACAAAGAAATGATAGATGTTTGAGGTGATGGATACCTTAAATACCCTGATTTGATCATCACATGTAGTATGCATGTATTGAAATATCACATATACCCCATAAACATGTACAATTATGTATCAATTTAAAAATGTTTTAAAATAAGTTGGGGAAAGCTTCTGATTCTCTGGTTCTGCATTCTACCACTCCCCCTGCTGTGGACTTACAGGAGCGTTGCGTAGATTGAATTGTTTTTCTAAAGCTTTCTCTCCAAGCTCTAAATATCTTATGACTGGTTCTGAACATGTATCTGCCTCCAGCTACGACCATAAACAGCTGAAGAGACACTGACAACACTGCTCACTGACTCCGGCATGCGTTCTCCTTTCCGTTTGTATCTCCTCCCCCGAAATGAGCTTAGGTAGATTTAAATTTTAATCAGTTAGATCAGTTGTTCTTAATGGGAATTTAAATTGAACTAGAGAATAAAAGCATTAGGGGGGCTGCTGGTTGCTTAGCTGGAACCTTTGGGCGACAGAGGTGGTTGCATGCTGTGATGTGATACTCAAGTGTAAGCCCTTTTTGACTGCATCTCCAGAGATCTGTTGGTGATAAAGTTTTTGGAGCAGATAATTTTCTTTGACCTTAGTCTCTTAAATTGGAGAAGGAAAGCTTTCTAAGAAGTGATCTTGATCCAGTTCTTAGATCAGTGGGACATCCAGGTCTGTGGTGGTCACCTATGGTCACCTTCACCCTGGGCCTGGATGACCAAAGTAAGGAAGGGAAGGGGGAGTGTATGCTGGAAAATGTCTCTTACCTCTAACCCCTCCCCACTTTGAGCCTTCCCATGCATAGCGGAAAGGCAGACAAGGACACCTTTAATTTTTAAAATCCTGAATATCCTGTATCTTAAACACAAAAGATAAGAGTGTCTGTGAAGACAGAAGGGGATCCTTTGAGCCCCTTGATGGCAATAACTGAACCTTCAACCCTGGAGAAGAGGAGACCAATTTGATATTATGGAGGCAGAATATACAGAACTGTGTGACTAATTCAACATGTGTTTCCATGGAGCCTGAAGGGGACAGAACCACAGATGCAAATCTGGTGTAGGTACTTGGCTGTGAGTTTGGTTTGAAAGCCTTCTGGGGCACCTTTACCTGCAATAGATAGCGTGGTTCATCTTCACCAGGATTCTACTCAGAACTCTTACAAGTGGTAACAAGAGACCTGAGGTAGAAGTACCTAATTGTTACATCAATGTCAAAGGCTAAAGTTATATTTGAAACATTTTTTCCCCTCTAATCAGCTGTTGAGATTTTCACATTTGTGAAATTAGTAAATCCTTTCTGAAGGTAATCTCTAGTTTTGGATTTTACCATGCATAAGAGTAAGTTCATATACTTTATTAGTCTTTACATATACCTCTTTGTATTTGCCTGAACTTGCCCCCTTGTTATACTTCAAGAAGCCCCAGCCTTTTCTGGGATTTAATGGCAATACATATGTGATCTAGTACCTTGTTACTTTCCCAGGCATTTAGTCTGGGAACCCTAATCTTGAGTGTGTCTACAGTGGATATTTTTCTCTAGGACAGGAACCAAATGGACTATTTACTGGTCTGCCCGGTAGGTCACCACAGACATAGCCTAGTGGTCTTTGGCCCATCTTCAGTAGTTGGCAACTGACTTTTTAGGCAAAATGCCTCCTTTTGTGTAAAGGAGAGATGCCTGTCCCCACCTGCAGCCCTCAATTCCTGCTTTAAGGCCAGCAAGCTGTCCCGAGAGGTCTCCTTGTAGATGAGTGAAATCCACCCAGAGAAACTCAATTAAAAATATGGGGTGGGGTCTGGGAAGAGCTGCGTTTATTATAAGGATCCAGAGGGACCTGGGAATTTAGGATAGGGAACCACTGTGGATGGGATCGGAGCCAGAGCAGCTCTAGGCCCTAGTTTTTCTCCTCTGTCTCTCTGCTTTCTTTTCCCACTCTCTCTGGAAGTACTTACTCTCATTCTACTCCTCCTTTCTTTCTCTCTCTCTGTGTCATGCTTGCAGTGGTGATGTTTTGGTTGTAGTCACGTTCTTGGGTCCCTCTTATTACCGACTGCCTGTGTCTTCCCCTCTCCTTTAGCCCTTACTTGGTTCTTTTCCCACCCAACCTGCCAAAACTGGCAACCAGTTTCCTCAGAACTTGTTATCTGGCTTGTAATTGCCCAGACTTCAACGCTCAAATGACCTTTTTGCTCTAAAGCCAGTGGCCATCTGGCAGTAATCTCCCAGTATAAAGGATTCTGAGTTCCCAAGAGAGCATCTGGTTGGCTCCCCTTGCCTTCCTGAGCCTGCTACATCATTCCTGGGCTGCTGGCCAGCCTAGGATTGGGTCCCCTCAGGTCAGACACACCCTGGGCCGGTTAGCAGCCAGCAGTGGGGGCAGGATAACAGAGTCCCCTGCCTACTTAACAGGAGCTGTGGGTGGGGGCAGGAGTTACCAGATACATCTAGCACAATGAACCATATCCTAGAACCCTTCAAACTAACATATGCCAGGTAGGTGTAAGCGTCTGTACTAATTTAAAAGTATACATTTCTAAGGTAATGAGTTCAGCATCTTGTGGCCATACCAGACATGGCATGGAATTAAACTTTCAGTCCCACTGTTCATTTTATTCATACATTAGGGTGGCAAGGGTGGTCTTGCTTATTGCAAACAAAGTCATCCTGGTGTATGAAATGAAGAATGTGGACTGTGCAGTTTTCCCAGTCGTGAAGACTTTTGATACATCACTTGAAATGTTTCCCCTGAAGTTGAGGGTCTTTGGTAATATCACCAGGGCAGTGAATGGCAGAGACCAGATCATGAATTGCTTCATTTACAGACTGCCTCCGGGCTTCCCTGCACTCTGGCTGCTGATACCACACCCCGTGTCCCTTGTGGTCTTAAGTCACAAAACCAGCTATTGGATTTGCCTGGAGTGTCTGAAAACAGGCTTAGAATGAGGAAACCTTGTCCTACTTTTATACAACTGGAAAACATTACAGAACTTGACTTTTTGAAAATTTCCCAAAAAAAGGAAAAGAAAAACCCACAAACCCCAGCTTGTAGAGTTTAGTTACAGGGAAACCCAGAGATAGAAAAAGTGAACTTGCTTCCACTTCACAGGTAGTTTTGCTTTAGAAAATGTGCCTCAAAATTCAGTGCCTACAAATACAAGAAAAGGGGTTTGGTTTTGCTTCTAATACTGTAAGTAAAACTACTCTTGAATGTTTTGGAGCTCATCAAAATTGACATTTATTCTCTTTTTCTACTTTTATCTACCTGAGTATTCTCATTATCTCTCCAGCTGTGAGAAACTCTCATCTTCCCATGATCCCGATTTAGGTGGGATCCAGTTCTGACAACATGAGTTAATCATCACTAGAAACATTGGCAAGAGCTGGGGATGTTTGTATTCCTCTGGGACAGCTTAGCATCTCTGGGTAAATATTCCAGTCCAACTGACTGCCTTCCCCAGGCTGTCCTTCCCCAAACTTCCTCTCATAGAGGTAGGAAGAGCCAAAAGCAACTGTTAGGTCCCTGGTAATTCACAAAGCAAGGATGATACTTCAAAACAGTTGGCTATATAATGTATTTCTTCTTGCAAAATTATACAGTTGGTATTCAGTAATATGTTGACATATAATGTATTTCTTCTTACATAATTATATAATGGCCATATGACTGTTTATGTCCTCAAAGTCCAACCAGATTACTTTTTTTTTTTTTTAATACTTTAAGTTCTAGGGTACATGTGCACAACGTGCAGGTTTGTTACATATGTATACATGTGCCATGTTGGTGTGCTGCACCCATTGACTCGTCATTTACATTAGGCATATCTCCTAATGCTATCCCTCCCCACCCCCTCCCCACAATAGGACCCAGTGTGTGATGTTCCTCTTCCTGTGTCCAAGTGATCTCATTGTTCAGTTCCCACCTATGAGTGAGAACATGCGGTATTTGATTTTCTGTTCTTGAGATAGTTTGCTGAGAATGATGGTTTCCAGCTGCATCCATGTCCCTACAAAGGACATGAACTTATCCTTTTTTATGGCTGCATAGCATTCCATGGTGTATATGTGCCACATTTTCTTAGTCTAGTCTGTCACTGATGGACATTTGGGTTGGTTCCAAGTCTTTGCTATTGTGAATAGTGCCGCAATAAACATACGTGTGCATGTGTCCGTATAGCAGCATGACTTATAATTCTTTGGGTATATCCCCGGTAATGGGATGGCTGGGTCAAATGTATTTCTAATTCTGGATCCTTGAGGAATCGCCACACTGTCTTCCACAATGGTTGAACTAGTTTACAATCCCACCAACAGTGTAAAAGTGTTCCTATTTCTCCACATCCTCTCCAGCACCTGTTGTTTCCTGACTTTTTAATGATCGCCATTCTAACTGGTGTGAGATGGTATCTCATTGTGGTTTTGATTTGCGTTTCTCTGATGGCCAGTGATGATGAGCATTTTTTCATGTGTCTGTTGGCTGTATGCATGTCTTCTTTTGAGAAATGTCTGTCCATATCCTTTGCCCACTTTTTGATGGGGTTGTTAGTTTTTTTCTTGTACATTTGATTGAGTTCTTTAGAGGTTCTGGATATTAGCCCTTTGTCAGATGAGTAGATTGCGAAACTTTTCTCCCATTCTGTAGGTTGCCTGTTCACTCTGATGGTAGCTTCTTTTGCTGTGCAGAAGCTCTTTAGTTTAATTAGATCCCATTTGTCAATTCAGATTACTTTTAAAAGAAATTTTAGCAGTTTGATTGCCAAATTCCTGTGATCTGCATGTTAAGAACTCTGTGACCTCTAGTCTTAGAAGTTCTGTTCCATGACACAGGTTGTTATGCAAATGAAAGACAAAGAGAAATGTCTTCTGCTTGTTCTCCTCTTCAGAATAAGAAGATCTACTTGGACATTATTCACACATACATGGAAGTGCATGCAACTGTTTATGGCTCCAGCACAAAGAATATTCCCAGTTACGTGAAAAACCATGGTATCCTCAGTGGACGAGACCTGCAGTTTCTTCTTCGAGAAACCAAGGTAAAAATTCACCAGGAATGTGGTGTTCAGGTTAATGCCATTGGCTGTGAAAATGTGATCAGAATATTTCATGCTTGTTTTTTCAGTGCTGCAATAAACTCTTTTGGCTATTTTGGGGCAGCAGTTTGCTAGACCAGTGGCAGCTGAAAAGTTAGCGAATTGTGGAATGAGATTGCTATGTTTGTCCATTGATTTATTCAAAAATCGTATTTACTCAGTGTTAGGTGTCAAGCAAGGGGCTAGGGATAAGGCTGCAAATGGAAAAGGTAAGGCCCTGCCTGGAAGGACAGACCTTCTAATACAGCAGCAGCTTTCATAGTAAGGCAGGGGTGCTGAACTCTCCCCCAACCCAGTCATCACCATTCAAGGAGTGGGTTTCCCAACCAGCTTTTCCTCATACCTCCTTGTTCACCAAGTACGCATTGGACAGTGAAGAAGTTCAGATGAGGGCAAAGTCCCTGTGGGCTCGGAAAGAAGAGCAAGCATCAGGAGAGATGCAAGAGACGAAAGATGGATGGAGTGTAGACACACCTGGCATGTGGGCCAGACAGGAGTTAGAGTCAGGTGGTGGAAGTACAGATGGCATATTCAGGAAGGGGCTAGAAGCCAACCCAGCTAGTCTAAGTGTTGAAAAATAGTGGAGGTAAAATTGGATGAGGGGATGTGAGGGTCTGATTGGCACAGATGGAGGCAGAGTTCAGACCATGTGGTGGAGGTAGCCAGGCAAGCCCCTGAGGATCGTTTTGCTCAGCAGTAGCGTGATGACCCGTTGCTTTGACACTGTAGGGAAGTCCACCCAGTGGTCTGTGTTCTTTCTGTAATTCTGCCATGGAAGTACCAAATGAAGTTCAGGAACTTGTGAAGAAACCAAAGTTTGGCCTTGAAGGGTTGACTGGCACTTCAGTGTATTAGATAAATTCCCTCAGGTTTATTAATAAGTTTTTGTTCATGAATTTCACAAATATTTATTGAGTAGCTGCAATGTGCTAGGCGTTGTACAAGGGTTGCAAGTGTGAAGAAGGCATGTGGATCTCTCTCGTGGTATGTCCTAAGCACAAGGAAGCTTATTGTCAGTAGTGGATTTCTCAGCTCTCGTCTCTGGCTCACTTTGTTTTCATGTTCAAGGTAGGGGAGAGAGGTTGAGCAGGTGGACTTCTATGGCATAATCTCGATTGCCCAATCATCATGTGATACTGCATTTATAAAAAGTGTATTCATATATGCTAGCCTCTTTGATTCTTACAACAGCCTTAAGAGGTAGATAGAGCAGGTATTATTGTTAACTTTGTTTTGAACATGAGGAAATAGGCTAGAGACTTTGGCTTGCCCACAGTAAGCCAGGGTCGTCTTGGAGGTGGCCCTAACTCATGATTTTTTTAATTGCAAATTAAGGCTCTGCTAGCCCCTTGATGTACGGTCCTCATAAACACTCAAACTTAAGAACGCTTAGTGGACACCCACTAGCCAAAAGAATGTATATCTGCTCTTTGCCTCAGTTTCTCCACCTGTAAATGTATTTGATCCTTTCTATGTCCAAGGCATTTGTATGATGCCACGAATAAAATAATTTGACAAATTCTTTAGCTTATTGGGCAAAGAGCTGGTTTCTTTTAAGATTTTATTTCCTTCCAAGGTCATCTGTAGTCTGATGACTGTTTTTGATTATCCAGGAGTGAAGTGTGTTCTCTAGTTTTCACTCTTTGCTTTCCATCACCTTCTGTCTTAGGCTGACATTTTAGAATCATCAGAATGCCTGGGCCCTTTAATGGCAGTGCTATTTTTGCCATTTGCCTCATTTTACTTTTTTTCACATCGGATTGTGGAAAGAGCTCAAGCTCCTTTAAAAAACATTTGGCAGAGCTGGTTCTCAGCAGCATGTCATTACTGTCTCGCACACTTTTATTAACCCAACCTCATGAATGTCTCTCTCAGCTTTGCGAATTTTAAAAGAACCCTTACTTACCTACCATCCATTACCCTGTCAGAGAGTAGGAAATAGGCCAAAATGGAGATCACTGATGTCCAGGGGAGGACAAGAAAAGAGACAGGGAAGGCCCAGGCCAAGATGTCCAAGTTTGCTTAATGAGCAAGGATTGCAGCCTCAGTTAAAGAGCACGAGGGGTATATGTTCATCCTTGAAAAACTGGGACCCAGTGTAGAGGATGTCACTGATCCCATTACCTATTGCCTGCTCCTTGAGTAGAGTATATTAAAATACTCTGAGTGGAATCATGGCTCAGACATTTGGCAAATATGACAAGGATGGGGCAGCTGAGGCTCCCCTCACACCCGGCACATGGCCACAGGCTCCAAAATGTGTGAACCTTCGGCTTTGAAATAATGACATGAAAGACCAGTCAGGCTTTGCATCTATAACCCTTTCTGTCTCTGACTCCTTTCTCTGTGTCTCTGAGCAATTTAAAAGTGATTTATTCCAATCCACGTTGGAAATGGGGAACTGGAGCTGCCAAGAAGCAAATGTCTGCAGCATGAATGGGATTCACACACTTCTTGGACTTCTTACTGGTGCGAGAAGCAAGGCTGATCTCCTCAAGAGGGTTAGAGACAGAGATGATTGATGATTGATCAGCTTCTGACTCATTGTTTTTCTTTACAAGCCATCTGTGAATCTCTGCACTAAACTTAGGAAACCCTCTGCTCAGCAGAATTTTGTCCAGGCGTGCCATTAGGGGTGCAAGTGTCATCAGTAGCCTCTTGCTTCAGGGGACCTGTGAAGATGGAAGGAATTGAATATAACACTATTTCTGGGGCTAAAAGAGCCAGGAAGTTGTTGGAATCTAGCAGACTCTTCTAATTGGGGTATAGATTTGGATGAATGAATTACTTATCACAGGACCACAGCCGAGTCATTCAGTCCAGCAAACCCCAGGAGTACAGTTTAAGCCAGCAAATCAGGACTCACTAGGGTGGCATGTTTTTATTTTTGCTTTAAATCTCCATCTCTTTTAAAGTGGCTTCTTTCTTCATCTTCCTGGTTTTAACCTCTTCATGTCCACCTCCCCTAGTCTTCCCTATTTCATATATGATACTGAATAGTGCATTTGCATCTGCAACTCACTGAATGGTTTGTGAGCTGGACCAGTACCGTCCTTTCTACAGTTGAAAACAAATTCTGGCTGTGGGGAAAAAAACAGGCAAAGCTGCAGCTTCCACACGTGCTGTCGCTGTACCCCTTCTGTACCCAGACCTCCACTCATTCACCTCTCCAAGACTTGGCTGGGTCATGACGGTCCTGTTTCCCCATCATGTCAGCTTATCAGTTTACCTGTGGGACTCACCTAGGAGCCTGGGCAGGCCTGGCAAATATGCAGTGCTCCCTCTGACTCATCTTATCCTCATGAATGACTGTGCCACCCTGCCCCCCACTAACTATGTCTCTTCTTACTGAGCTTGGATGTGTCACAAAACCTGTCTGAGGCGGGTGCGGTGCAGTAGCTCACACCTATAATCTTAGTACTTTGGGAGAGGCCGAGGCGGGCAAATTGCTTGAGCCAAGGAGTTCTAGACCAGCCTCGGCAACATGCAAAACCCCATTTCTACAAAAAATGCCCAAAAAATTAGCTGTACCTGGTAGCATTCACCTGTAGTTCTAGATTTTCAGGAAGCTGAAATGGGAAGATCACTTGAGTCCAGGAGGCTGAGGTTGTGGTGAGCTGAGGATACCTGCATTCCAGCCTGAGTGACAGAGGGAGACCCTGTCTTTAAAAAAGGCTGTCTGAAAAACCCAGGGCTTGAGGCAGCAGACTCTCATGCAGCTGCATGAGGGCCAAGGGCCTTTGCTTGTTCTATCCACAGGTGCATTCACAGTGCCTGGTTTATAAAAGGCATTTAGATGATTGTATAAAGAAGGAAAGAAGGAGCCAAAATGAAACACATTGACCATCTGGGATCTCTGAGATTTCCTCCTGTTATCAGATACGCTGCGCCTAGATCTCTTAGATCTCCCGAGCTAGGGACACTACCCTTCTGATACCCCATGCCTGCCTGTCTGTGATGTTGCTTATATCTGCAGGCCCTGTGAGTGATAGCCCAAGAGCTTACTTCCTTAGGGGGAGCAGTCCTTCTATTTCTGTTACAGATACTGGTTCCCATTTGCCCTCAGGCAGCTAATTGAGGCAGGTTTCATCCTAGTGAGCATACTTCAAATCATTCCCATGCCATCTAGATGGGGAAAAAAATTGAATGAACACATCCATGCCTCCTTCCTTCCCCCTTATCCATACATGTATGTAGACTGAGGAGTGTACAGAGGTATGAGTCAGTAACCCTGTCTGACTTTCAGAGCAAAAGTGCATCCCCACACTCAAATAAATACATGTTCAACCTCTGTGCACAGAGACACTTGATTGCTGGAAAGATCCAGTCTCATAGTATTTATTCTTTTGCTCTTTCATCCAGCAAGTAAGTATAATATTAAGTACTAGATATATTCTAGGCCTTAGTCTAGCCATTCTAGAGACAGTGATGACTCAAGCAGTTTTGCCAACAAGGAGCATACAGGTGTGCTGGAAGAGGAAAGCAGGTAACTGTAACAATGTGGATCGTACACAGGTAGAACTAGTCGTAATATGAAATAATGATACCAACATAAAACTTTACTGTCACGTGGGGCCAACAGTTCATTTGTGTAAAATGTGGTTCTGTGACTTGTGAAATCAATGTAGTGGATGGGGCAGTCCCATTCAGAGGACAGGAGCCACTGTCAGTCACAGTTTAACACCTCCATGCTATTGCGGTGCACCTGCGTATGGGATTTACCGTAACAGTAACAGCCATTATCTCTCCCCTCAACCATGTGCTAGGCCCTATGCTAAGCCCTTTCTGTGTATTCTCTCTTTTCATCACAGAAATCCAGTAATCTTGGTACTGTTATAAACAGTACCATTTTAATGAAGCAGTCACTGAGGCTCCAGTCGTGAATAAGCCTGTTTTGCTGCCTCCGTGTTGGCAGCTGAGGGGTTGTCCTGGTGTGGAATTTGGGTGAGAGAGGCATGGTCAGGAAAGGGCCCTCCCAGGAGGTGATGCCTGAGTGGACTTTTAATGGTGAGCACTTGAGGCTGGCCTAGCTGAACATGTTCAGCATCTACAGGTTTAAATTTATGCAAATACTCTTTTACTCCCCCATCTCCAAGTTAATAAATTTACAATGTGAATTGTAATGTGTTTGATTTTATATTCGGGCTTTCAGATGACCGAAACTCAGGAACTTTTTATCCTGATGCTGTTGTTTGTGGTTTGGGTTTTTGTTTCTGAAAGGGTATTTAGGTAGCTGGACATAATCAGCCGGCTGGTCTTCAGGAAATAGTCTTTGGTTTAGCAGCAGACTTTGACAAAAGTCTGCTTTGGGCATGTAAACATGCTTCGTGGGTCTTCTTTTCTTAGCCTCTGTGGCCCTTCCAGCTCTTCCCTAGAGAGTCTTCAGGTCATGTGAGTCAGGGGCTTGTGGAGCCCTTGGGAGGATAGAGCCAGCCTGGACGGGAGAGAGTTTGGCCACTGTTTATCCCTTCCTTAAGCATCAGGTACCTGAAAGAAGGCAGATGGCCAGAGAAGGGTCCCTTTGGGCTACATAAAAGCATCACATTTTGGGAAAATTGTTTTCTTCATACCCAGCCCTTGTCTCGGTTATTTTTAAGATATAAAAGGGATGCCTATTACCAGAAACATTAATGTAATGATTCCCAGTCATTGTATAAAAATAAGCAAAGCTTAGCAATAGCGTGTGACTTGTGGGACTGGCTTATGTGGCATTCACTGTAAACCATATCATCTCTTATCTCTCTCTTCTGATGAATGTCCCTCCCCCTTTTTTAGTACAGATACTTTATGAAACAATAAGAACTCATACATGCAGGTGCTGAGCATCTTGTAAACCCACAAACATAACTCCTGCACACCTAAACTCTGTCTAAATGATACAGGGCCGTAATATGCAGCTGTGTGAAGTTACATATGGATTTGAATTTGAGTGACTGATTATCCAACACTTACTAAGCGCCAAGACTTGGAATGAATCCTTTCCATGTACTATCTCATGTAATCCTCACGGCAACCCCATGAAATAAAGCAGTATTATTTTATACATGAAAAGACTGAGGTTTAGCAAGCTTGTTACCTGGACTAAGGCCCTATAAATAGAATAGATTTATAAATGGGCCTTAAAGAATCCATAGACAGAAGCATCCAGCAATTTGTCACAGTTACTAACCTAGGCAACGATGGAGCCAGGCCTGTGAAGCCTACAGTCTGACTCCAGAACCTGTGCTGTAAATTACCACATTGTTCTGGGCACTTTGTGCCAATAATGGATTCATCAATTCATTTGGTGAACCGGGAGTAATTCATTGCTCAGTTTCCCTCTAGAGTCACCATGCCAACTTCACTAATTAAAACTGGCCAGAAAAGTATGTGTTGTGTGTGTGTTTCCTATTTAGGATTATCCTCAATGTTCCGCATCAAGAGTGAAACTGACCAAGCCCATAGATAAGAACCCCCTTTATCCATGTTTAAAGGATTCTTTAAGTACTCCACTTAGCAGTTTTAAAACAATTGTGTCTTCTTTCACAGAGTAGGAAAAATCTGAGTGGTTTTACTAGACCCTTTATGGATATGTAGGAACGTCCCAATCCTATACTGTGAAGAAAACGTATGGTGCTTCATCTGTTCTCTCTGCTTAGCATTAGTTCAAAAATTTAATCCTAGATCCCACAATCCCTCTATGTAGAAATACTCACTGATGGAGCTGGAGTTGCAGCCATGGAGATATTTTGTCATCTGGAATATCCTCATTAGATTCTGGGCTTCTGAAGGCCAGGTGAAGTATAAATAAAATATGGCCAGTTTTCTCCGGCAGAGTTAAGCCTTGGCACTTGAGAACATTCTGGCAGTGTGTCTCTTGCCTCCTTGCTAAGGAAATTGGTAAGCAGGCAGAATAGCAGGGAATTAGGGGAAAAGCAGTTCAGTGTGATTAAGGTGCCAGTGTGTTGCAAAACCGTAAGTGCAAGGAAGTTTACAGAGTGCTGTTTGGTGGTGATGAACTCTCTCCACCTGTTGTGTTTTCATTCAAACCTCAGATGTGCTATTTGACCTTAATACATCTGCTCCATTGTAATGTCACAGGTAATAAGCACACAGGAAGCAAGAAAAAAATTGCTTATTGACTGAAATGACAAAAAAACTGTTATTTTGGTGTTTCCAAATAATGTATTTCCTACAGTCCTACTTGTGTGACAAAAACACTCATTGCCAGGAAATTATGTTGTATTTGCTTAGGCTTCATTCTAAACATATGAGGCTTGGGAGAGTTAACCTCAAGTTTTTATTTTATGTGTACTGAGATACTCTGGTGCCCACAGGGCAGAAGAGATGGTTCATATTGTTATTCAGATATAATTAAACCTAGGTCACATTCAAGTCCATTAAGCAACAGCCTCATCCTTTTAATTAATGGGTTCAGATTGGTTGGTCTAAAGAAGCTAATTAAATTTTTCCCAAGATTTTCTGTTTAAATAGACAAATATTGTGCTGCTTACATTTCCTCCAGAGTTGTTCTTTGAAATTTAGAGTTGGTGAAGGTATCCACACTTTATGGCAGGCCCTGATTTTCAGAGGTCAGGAAGCACTGTGGATTATCTGACTAAACCTGTAGAGATCCTGATCTGCATCTTCTAGCACTTTTCTCCTCAGTCAGAAAGATCTGGACTCCCTGTGCTATCTTATGTCTAACCATGGCCTGACAGAGGTCATTTGTTTTCCGCTGGAGAGCCAGCACATCCTCTCCAGAGTCTGATAGGAGAGGGCAAATCACAGAGATCACAAGTCTGATGGATAACAACCCTGGATTCTTCATATTCCATAAAGCTGGGATATCGTGGGACTAGTACATCCCACTGTTTCCCTCCGTTTCATCTGCAGCAGTCAGATCTCCCCCACCCGTGAGCCACATGCCCAGGCCACACCCTATAGTTAGAAGTTCTCTCTGACAATCTGCTTTCTGTTAGCTGTATAATAAGAGTAAGATGCAGAGCAGGAGCTTCCTAATTGTAGTAGAACTTTCCCTTTATCCTACAGCTTCCAGGCTCCTGGCTACCATGTTTTCCTCACCACCACCCCCACCAGTGATCTCCCGTGGTTCTGCTGCCCAAGGGGGAAATGACCCAGCCAGTATTAGGGGCTCTGCTGACCTCTCAAAGCTTCTTTTCTTCCCAGCTCCCTGCCCTGTGGACGTCTCTGGCATTGTGATCACGCAGTTTGCAGGAAATGAAAGTTTATTCTTTCAAAAAACCAAAAAGATTGAGTACCCTATTGTGTGCAAAACAAAAGTAAATAGGTCCAGAAAACCTGAGATGTTAGTGCTTTGCCCCAGAATTCCTTCAGGAGCTACCTGGTTCTCCAGTGTGTCACTCATGGGCTGTGCTCAGGGTTGGCCGCACCCTCCAGCTGAACCTTTCTAAAGGATCAATTAGAGCAACTGCAAAGCTGGTGAGGAGGGGATTGCTGTGAAAAGACCTAGGGAAAAAGAGAATCAAGCTTGTAGCTAAATCTATTTGAGCCATCTCCTTTATTCTCAACGCCTGGCCTTGTGGTGGGTGATGCTCTGTGTGATGGCAGAAGGAAAGGATACCCTGGGGCCCAGTTATCTTTTCTCACTTAATGTGCCCCTGGGGGCTGGAACAGAAAAAGCTCTTTGATGTGGGTAAGGAGGACACAGCTTCATCAAGCCCAGGCCTGGATCCTGCCCATCAACAACCTGCAGTTATCCAGCAGTGCAAAATGCACCCACTGTGACAGCATGTGCCGAGGCATTTCTGGGAGCAGTTATTTCATTTTTGTACCCAGGAAATCAGCACCACTGAACTGCAGCTTGTCCCCTTTGTCATCGTGGCTTCCAGCTGCTGTGGTTGCTCTGAGAACTCTGAGAGCAAGTTGTTGCTGCCATCTATGGTCTGTCTTGGGGGAAGCACATGGTTTGCCTGCTGGAGAGGGAAGCAGCTGCTTTGCAAATTCGTCAACGCAGCACAGTCTCTCCCCTGTGAGGGTAAAATCAACACCAAGATGTTGGTGTCCCCAGTGTAAACCCCATTATGAAAACCTGTGTTTACTGACCTACCATCATTTTAAAGCAGTTCCATTTGAACTGCAATCAAACCTCCAAGTGACCTTTCTGTCCCTCCGCCCAGCATTCCTGAAAGGGCCTGTTGTTTCTTTGGTTCAATGAAGAAACCTTCTGTGTAGTTAAGCAAGTGTTTTTCCAGTCATGTCTCCTGGTGAGTTACAGAAAGATTATTGTTGGGTCGTGGCGGTTTTTCTTTTAATACTCCAACCTCCCTACCCCCCTGATACCCCTAGACACTTAAATTTTTTACTTCCTTTAGTGGAGGAGAGCATAGTGAGTTGAGCAGCTTTGTGGGGCCTTTAAAAGTTCATAGTTTTTCAGATCCTGGTGTAAGCTGAATTCTCTCTGCCTCACCCCCCAGGGCCTGGGAGCCTTCCAAAGTGAGGTGTCCACTCGGGAATGGGCCACAGAATCGCCGCCTGCAAGCCGGGAATGCCTGTCCTGCCTGATGGCCCTGCCTGATGTGTTCATATGCTGTATGGTTTTCTGTCTTACAGTTATTTGTTGGACTTGGGTTCCCTTACGAGGGCCCAGCTCCCCTGGAGGCTATCGCAAATGGATGTGCTTTTCTGAATCCCAAGTTCAACCCACCCAAAAGCAGCAAAAACACAGACTTTTTCATTGGCAAGCCAACTCTGAGAGAGGTAAGCATCTATCAAAATTATTCCACTTTGAATAATATGAATAATAGCTATTTATTGAGTGTTAATGTGGGCATTAACTTCATTTAACATGGTTGGATGAGAGGCTAAGGGTGTGGAGGCTCAGAGAGACAAATGACCCGATCACGTCACCTTGCGAGTTAGGGGCAGGATTTGAATCTACTTCTGCCTTCAGCAAGTAAGGGATCTTTACACTCTACCCCCACTCTAGCTTATTGTAAACTCAGACATTCTAGCCTTCTGATTATAGCTGAACTCTGATTTTCTGAATGTTTGAAGTTTAGGGAGTGAGATCAACCGGTTAGTATATATTTGTGAAGAATCTGCTCCCCATGATGGGCTTTGGAGAATAAAAAGTGGACTGTGGGAGTTTGCAGAGAACCATCAGCCTCAGTATACCATATGTATCATGGATAATTGAAGTAATTTTTTTTCACCCACCATTCCAAGACGTAATCCTGCCATTGCTAGAACCATTTGCAGAAACCTCATTAGAATTGCCTTCAGAGATCCTGTTGAAAATCTGCAGTGTGTGATGAATCACCATTGAGGGTAGTCGGATTTGATTTAGGGCGATAAACAAAAGTCTTTTACCTGTGAGTGATCAAACTGGGTGTTTCTGCATCTGCTCAGAAATAGGTGTGTACAAGAAATCATAAGATAGATTTTCTGATTAGTTCTGTGTGGTTAGTAGTAAGTGGCTCTGTAGGCAGCTTATGAAGGGAAGTCATAGCAGCATCCTCGTCATTCAGGGCCTTGGGGGGATTACATTGATTAGCATCCCTCCCATGGCATATCAATGTAGAAGGACAGTTTATAAAACATACATTTTTCAATTCTGCTTTTAAACCCTTCTGAGTCATTTTCTCTCCCATGTAGTATATAAGATGCATTCTCAATGATTATTTTTTATTGATCAGTCAGAAACCTTGACAATTGATAGAACTGATTATTTTGAGAGTTATTTTTCTCTGACCCTTCCTGTCATTGGTGAAATGGCCAAAGGAGAGAGAAGATCAATAATATCCATAGTTTATCTATAAAAGGTTAATCTGTGGCCCAGATAACCTCTGACAAGGGTTACGTGTGTGCGCGCGGGTGGGTGTGGTTTTTTTTCCCCCTTCTGCTAGAATAATAAATTTGAATTCTTCATTTGGGGAGTGGTTTTGTATTCAGAGGTCAGTTTGTTCATTCATAACTCAGCAGAACTTAATGTACATATCTGTGTGCTAGGTGCTGTTGGAAGTGCTAGGACACAGAGACCGGGGAAATTCAGTCTGCCGTGAACCTATTCTTTTGAAAAGTTTAAAAAGATGCTGCCTAGCAGTGAAAATATCTGTTTAGGAATCTCTGCTTTAGCAGGTGACTGACTTCTTTGAAACTTCGGAGTTTGGGGTGGAAAAGAAACTAGTAAATCATCCCTCGAGTTTTTTGACAAAAAATATATTTAAGGTGTACACCTTGATGTTTTGATAAATACACACATTGTGAAATAGTCATTACAATCAAGCTAATCTATCACCTTACATAGTAAATAGATTTTTTTTCCATGGTAAAAACACTTAAGATCTCCTTTTTTGGCAAATTTCAAGTATGCAATACAGTATTGTTAACTGTGGTCCTAATGCTGCACAGTAGCTCTCCAGGACTTACTCAACTTGTATAACTGAAACTTTGACCAACATTTCCCCATATCCCCATGCACCAGTCTCTGGGAATCACGAATGTATTCTCTGCTTCTGTGAGTTCAACCGTTTTACTGTGAGTTGAACTGTGAGTTCAACTAGGCTGGTCTGCATGTGGAATCATGCAGAATTTTCCTTCTGTGCCTGGCTTATTTTACTTAGCATAACATTTTCCACATTCGTCCATGTTACTGCCAGTGATGGGATTTCCTTCTTTTGCAGGCTAAATATTTCATGTGCACATAATTTATCCATTCAGCCACTGAAGGCCACTTAGTTTGTTGCCATATCTTGACTATTATGAATAATGCTGCAGTATACATGGGAGTGCAGATACCACTTTAACACAGTGATTTTAATTGCTTTGGATATATACCCAACAGTGGGATTGGTGGATTATGTGAAGTTATATTTCTTATTTTTTGAGGAACCTCCATTTTCTTTTTCGTTGATGGCTGTAACACATTACATTTTCACCAGCAGGGTACCAAGGTTCCCTTTTTACCACATTCTTGCCAGACACTTGTTATCTTTTGTCTTTTTGATAAAAGCCATTTTAACAAGCATGAGGTGATATCTCCTTGTGGTTTCGATTTGCATCTCCCTGATGATGAATGATGTTGAGCACCTTTTCATGTGTTTGTTTGCCTTGTGTATGTCTTCTTTTGAGAAATGTCTTCAGGTTATTTGCCTATATTTTAATTTGCTTGGTTGGGTTTTCTTGCAGTTGAGTTGTAGGAGTTCCTTGCATAGTCTGGGAATTAACCGCTTATTAAATATGTGGTTTGCAGGTATTCCATAGGTTGCCTTTTCACTCTATTGATTGTTACCTTTGCTGTGCAGAAGCTCTTTAGTTTGATACAATCTCAGTTGCCCGTTTTTGCTTTTGTTGCCTGTGCTTTTAGTATCATACCCAAACATCATTGCCCAGACTAGTGTCAAAAAGCTTTTGCACTGGTTTTTTTCCTAGTAATTGCGCTGTTTCAGGTCTTATATTGAAGTCTAAGCAATTTTGAATTCATTTTTATAGATAGTGTGAGATAAAGATTTAATTTCATTCTTACGCATCTGGAAATCAAGTTTTCCAAATATTATTTATTGATGACGTTGTCCTTCTCCATTGTGTATTCTTGTCAGCCTCGTTGGGAATCAGTTCTTTTCTGGCTTCTCTATTGTGTTCCATTGGTCTATATGTCTGTTTTTATGCGAAAATCACCTATACATTTTAATTTAGGTCTAGGAAATCTCTAAGGTTCTACTTCTGCCCAAATTGTAGATATTATTTGTAATTTTCCATGTTTGTTTAATATTTTGAGATAAAGTATATACAACATAAAGCTTACCATTTATGGTTAAAGTTTTTTAACCATTTTTAAGTGTATAATTCACTGGCATTAAGTATATCTGCAATATTGTGCAACCATCACCACTATTCATTTCCGGAACTTATTCATCATTCTAAACAGAAATTCTGTAGCCATTAAACAATAACTCTCCATTCTCCCCACTCCTCAACCCCTGGTAAACCTCTCTTCTACTTTGTGTCTCTGTGAATTTGCCTATTCTAGGTACCTCATGTAAGTGGAACCATATAGTGTCTGTCCTTTTGTGTGTGGCTCACTAACTTGGCATGTTTTCAAGGTTTGTTCATGTTGTAGTATGTTTCAGAATCTCATTCCTTTTTATTTTTTTGGAGACAGGATCTTGCTCTGTCACTCAGGCTGGAGGAGTGCAGTGGTGTGATCATGGCTCACTGCAGTCTCAAACTCCTGGGCTCAAGCGATCCTTCTTCCTCGGCGTCCTGAGTAGCTGGGACTACAGGTGTGTGCCACGACACCTGGCTACTCTTTTTATATTTGGTAGAGATGGGATCTCACTGTATTAACTAGGCTGGTCTTGAACTCCTGGACTAAAGCGACCTTCCCAAGTAGCTTGGGATTACAGACACACCCCACCACACCCAGCTAATTAAAATTTTTTTTTTTTTTTGCGGAGACAAAGGTCTTACTTTGTTGCTCAGGCTGGTCTCCAACTCCTGACCTCAGCCTCCCAAAGTGCTGGGATTATAGGCATGGGTCACCATGCCTGGCCTATGTCACTCCTTTTTATGAATATATGTATACACACATTACTTTTTAAAGGCTGAATAGTCCATTGAATATATATATAAATCATTTTGCTTCTTCATCTGTTGATGGACATTTGGGTTTTTTCACCTTTCGCCCATTGTAAAGCTACTATGAACATTGGTATACAAGTATTTTGAGTCTTTGCTTTTAATACTTTGAGGAATGTACCTACAAGTAGACTTGCTAGAATTTACTTTTTACTTTGAAATAATTTTACTGGTACAGAAAATTTGCAAAAATAATACAGAGTTCATGTAGCTGCTTCTTATGGCAGCTTCTACAAAACTACAGTACAGTGGTCAAAACCAAGAAATTAACATTGGTACCATAGTATTATCTAAACTACAGACTTTATTTGGACTTCACCAGTTTTTCCAGCGAGATGCTTTTTCTGTTCCTGAATCTGATTCAGGACCCACATTGCATTTAATACTCATGTCTCCTTAGTCTCCTCTGATCTGTGCCAATTCAGTCTTTCACTATCACCCATGACCTTACCACTTTTAAGGAGCACAGGTCAGCTTTTTGTACACTGTTTCTCAATTTGGATTTGACCGATGTTTTCCCATCAGTCAAATTTGAAGCTAGGCATTTTTGGCAAGAATATCCCAGAAGTGATGTATCCTTCTCAGAACATCACGTTAGGGGGCATATGATGTCAATATGCTGTACTGATTGATCCCAGGTTTCTCCACTATGAAGTTACTCTTTTACTCTTTTCTCTGTAGTAGGGGTAATACTTTGGGGCTATGTTAGAATATCCTGTTTATCTTCAAACTTTTGTATCATATAGCAGTGGATTTGTATAGTATCACATACTATACAAATAAGTACAGTATTTATTGTTATCATATAGGAGTGGATCATGTCTGCAACAGTTATTACTGCGGTATTCTGATGGTGATTTTCTGATTCCCTCATGATTTTTTAAATGCATGAAAAGCAAAGAAGCCCATCTCTTTTCTTACTGCAGTTTCTGTATACAAGCCTTTGGGAAATGAATCAAAAGTAGCTGAGATTAAGTTGGCAACTGACACGTTTTTGTTAAAACTGACTCTAAAGGTTTTAATGACACTGTGGCCACTGGGTATTTTTTTCCCGGAAAAAAAAAAAAATTAGGACACTCTTAAACACAATCTGAACATTGCCCAGTGAATGATGTAATGTGACATGGATGAGATCAGCCAGTGTGAAGTTATCAAGAAAAGCATTTCATTGTTTTCTGTCAGTTGCCATCATTTTGTAATTTACTTTTTGCTGAGGTCATATGAGGTTTTCATTCTTTATGTTGTAAGAAGAGAATAAGCACTGGGGCTGTCACATGGGCATTTGGTTCCTCCTGTCCCTTCATCCCTTCAGATGATTCCACCAGCCCTTAAATGTGACTCTGTTAGAGAAACCGTGGGATCCTTTCAATAGTTGCTCAGCAAGTGACCTCACACAGATGACTCCATCAGTCCTAGGCTCCCCCAGGAGGGCAGGATGCAGAGGGAAGTTGACAGGTGTTTAATGCATCCCCGCAGGGTGGTACCAGTTGCTGCATTGGGAGAATTCATCCATGTACATTTCCTGTTTTCCAGGAGCTCCAAATCTGATATGAAATAGTTATAGGACAAAAGCATAATCAGTGGAAGTGCATGAAGAAATAGCTAAGTGAATTCAGGAGGGGAGTGAACTTGGAGTTGTGCTGGGTGGAGGATGTGCAGGGTTAGCTGCGAAGGGGATAGTGGAGGGGCTGTGCTTTAAAGGAAAAGGAGGAGAGCGGGTCTCAAGCCTGAGAAGCATGAATACTGACAAGCTGGGGATACCCCAAGAAGGTCAGTTTGCTTTATGCAAGAGGGCAGGTTCCATCTGATATCTAGCTCCCTCCAGCAACATCAGACAGCATTGAGAGGGACCAGTGAGCTTGATCTCATGGCCAGGTGGGTCACCCTGTCCTGCTCTGCCAGCTCACAAAAGCCCGTAAAATCCCCGTAACTAAAGAAGCTTTTAATGGGAAAAGAGCTGTCAACAGGTTCATTTCTAAGAATCAAAAATTCCTAGAAATTATCTTTTTTCCTTAGCAAATGGAAACATTGTAACCAGAGTATACATAATTACATAAAACTACCTTTTTGTGCCCATACAAATCTTTCATATTAAGCAATATTTGATCCACCTAAATTGATCATATCAACTGCATACATGTCTCTTTGCCTTCATTTGAAGAGAAGAAAAAGTCTGGATATCTAAATGTGGGTTTAGCTTGGTTTTTATTTTTGCACCAGACCATTTTTCAAACCATGATGTCTACACAGAGTGGGAAAAGTTCCACAATGCCTTAAGTAATGTGGCTGGTTCAGGTTACATTTTAATATAAATTGGATTTTTATCTTTACATTGGGAAACAGTAGGTTCTTGATCATTATTCTGACATTTTGTAAGCCATTAGAAATACTCTGGCTTCCGGGTTTTGTGTGTGTGTGTGTGTGTGTGTGTGTGTGTGTGTGTTTCCATAAAGAGAACTCATGTTCTCCTTGGAGATTTAATAGCCATTCTGGAGTAATGTCTCATATTTAATAAGATTTTCATTACTTTTATAAACTATACTCCAGTAAATTTACTGATTCATATACAATGAAGTATCTTAGCTCAGATGGTTCTCAATAAATTAACAAGAAGGAACGTAACATTCAGAGGGGAACTAATTAATCATAAAATGCCTCACTCATAAAGTTAAGTAACCTTCAGTAAATGTAAATGAATAAAAGGATAATAGCTCAGCATTTCGTATTTTCCAGGTGCTTGAAGCAACCTTGTAAATAAGCAGAGACCTTAAAAGGCAGGAGAGGAGGGAGATTGCTGACATGTAAATTACTAAACAGTGACATTAATGACAACTTTAACTTACCCTCATTCCGTCAGAAAAACTAATTAGTTCTCCAGGCCATAAAATGAAAATGATGTGACATTTTGCTCATCTTCAGAAAATACAGGCATAAATTCAGTCCTGAATTTAGGTTGGCAAGTTTTAAGAACTGGATTAAAAAGCTGGTGTTTACATTGGGCTTTCGTCTTAAGAACCCAAAGACATCCTTTAAAATTGTCACCTTCCTTTTTATCCAAAGCTAAGAAGTTGTTGAAGGACCTGGATTTGAAGTTGGCTCTTCTCCTTTCCAGCTATGTGGTCTTGGGGGAAATGTAATCGCCTCTCAGTCTCAGAATCGTCATTGATACATAAATAAACCTGAGAAATAACATTTGTGCAGGCGATTAGCAGGACTCCTGGCCCAGCCTAGGGCTTCCTTGATAAGTGTTGAATCCAAAACATGTGCAGAGGAAAAAAAAATGGAAGTTTCCTGAGCTCCATGGGCCTGCAGAGAGTCTGTGGCTTTCATCACTGACCATAGAGCTGAGCCGAGGAAGAGGGCACCTGTCAGGAGGGCTGGAAACTGAAGAGGCTGATGACAGGCTGCTGCTGGGTAGAGGCCCAGATAACCTGTAGCCAGCAGAGGCTCACTGCTGGGCCAGGGACTTGTCGGGCTTCCTGCCTTGAATAGTACACGCATGCTCTTGTGTGGTAGGATACAAAGAACAGTGGCTAAGGGAAAGGTGGAGGGGTGCCAGTTATTTCCTCCAGCCCTCTGAGTATCCTGGAGTCTGAGGAAAAGAGGAGGGCCAGCTTGACCTCCAAAGCAAAGGCGTCAGCATTGCCAGACCCAGTATTTCCTATTATAAATATGAGATGAAATTTGTAAATTATATAACCTTGCCTATGTGTGTAATTTCAAAAGAGAATAATTCTCTAACTCAAATGTAAAGGAGAAATAAAAGGAAAATAATTCCTAATAAAGCAATACATATTTCAGCATTATGGAGTCAAGAACTATACTGTTCCATACCCAAGAGCTATACCAGGCACTATGATGCCTTGTTCCTCCTCACAGTGAGTGTTTTCATTTAAAAGGAGTGAAACATTCCGCTGAATATGGTCAGCCTTTTTACTTACAATTGACATTGTGAAGGAGGAGCGAAGCCTGAGTGTGTTTACATATACCCACATATAAACAGAACTGCCAGTAATGTGATAGCTCCGAATATAGACTAATGTGGGTAGGTTTTACTGAAGACTCTGACATCCTCAGTGGCATTGACTTTGCTGCTTTGATCTTTCTGAAATGGTGACAGCTCTTTGGTGACGTTTCAGATAAAACACAGCAGAGACATTGCTTCATTTACACGATTATGTGATTATGTCTGTGGGTAATTCACTGTATGTTTGAACTGTCAAAAAGTTAGATTCTGGCTGGGCATGGTGGTTCATGCCTATAATCCTAGCAGTTGGGGGTGCTGAGACCGGCGGATCACTTGAGGCCAGGAGTTCAAGACCAGCCTGGCCAACATGGTGAAACCCAATCTCTACTAAAAATACAAAAACTTAGCCGGGTGTGGTGGTTCACACCTGTAGTTCCAGCTACTCAGGAGGCTGAAGCAGGAGAATCGCTTGAACTCAGGAGGCAGAGGTTGCAGTGAGCCGAGATCGCACTACTGTATTCTAGCCGGGGTACAGAGCAAGACTCTGTTTCAAGAAAAATAAAAAGCTAGACTCTGTAAGCCCATGTGAAAGCCCTGCAGGGCATTTGAAAGTTTCATGGGCAGTGGGCAGTTCTTCCTGTGCAGGATTGTCCTTGCACATTGTGAAGCAGCTTCTATCCCTAGTTCCCACCCACAGACTAAGGTAACACTCTCCAGTTATTACGGTAGCTGAAAATGCTCTCACATGTGTCTAAAATGCTCCCTTTACAACATGACCTTAAAGGGATATGAGGATAGAGATGGAAACAAAATCAGGGGATAAATTTAGCTGTATTAAAGAATGGACTCAATTAAGCACAGTGGCTTGTGCCTGTAATCCCGGCAATTTGGGAGGCTGACACAGGAGAATTATTTGAGGCCAGGAGTTTGAGACCCACCTGGGCAACATACAGAGACCCTGTGTATACAAAAAAACAAATTGTTTTTAATTAGCCAGGCATGATGTGCGCATCCGTAGTCCTGACTACTCAGAGTGCTGAGGCAAGATGATCTCTTGAGCCCAGGAGTTTGAGGCTTCAGTGAACTATGACTGGGCAACAGAGCAAGACCCTTTGTGGGGGGAGGAAAAAAAGAAGAATGGACACTTCATGAATTAAAGAATTGTCACGGTTCACACTTGATTTCTTTGACCACACATTGTTTTTCAAATAAAACCTCCTTTAGGACAAAAACTGACATTCCTTTTTTTTCTGAATATTATGCTAATGATTATTCCTGAAACCATTCTAGAAATTCTATGTATTTCTGATGGTATCATTTTTTTCTGTCACCTTTTCTATGCACCATGACTTAGCCTCCTGGGACTTTACAGCCTTGATTTTTCTTGTAATTGTCTAGGCTGACCTGTCTGTCTTAGCCAGGATAATAGATACTGGTTTGATCTATTAATAGGTGATTTTCAGGGCTGGGTTCTGGGGTAGAAGAAATTGTTCATCATTTCTTGGTGTGATGTTGGGGGTTAAAGCCACCTGTAGCAGCTTCCTTGTCACCTGGTTGTGACATTATCTTATTTCCAAGTGGGATTCAAGATACAGAACCATCACTGTTTTATTGTTATCTGCTTATGGATGGTTTTGATCATCAAAGGGAAGGATACAATGTCTTGTTACCTACACAACTAGAACTCAGTACCGTAAAAAGCGTAGCACGCCGTCTAGCACAGAAAGTTATTTTAAAAATCGCTTGTGAGACTGAGGTGTTTGCTTCTTTTCCAGCTGACATCCCAGCATCCTTACGCTGAAGTTTTCATCGGGCGGCCACATGTGTGGACTGTTGACCTCAACAATCAGGAGGAAGTAGAGGATGCAGTGAAAGCAATTTTAAATCAGAAGGTTGGTTTCTTTTATTCCACTTTCTCTCATTTCTAATGTGACCTGAAATGTGTATAAAGCATCATAGGTCCTTGGTTTTAATGAACAGATCTTTACCACATCAGCTTAACCCTAGAATTAGAAAATAACCAAGCTATAGGATTTGGCCTGGGGATTTCATGAATGTTCTGTGAATTGGAAACAGAGCTGGTATCCTGATGTGTGCCTGGATCGCAGGCACAGGAGCAGGATCTGGAGTCATACTTGGTTCAGTGATCTGATTATGTTGCTCTCACAAAGATCTGAAAAGATAGCCCTGCTTCCTCTACAAAAGAGAGAGAAGTGCAAGGAAATACTGGGGAATGTTTTTATAGAACATCTGTTTTGTTTTTTTTTTTCTACCTAAACATGTAGTAGAATTTTGTAAAAGTAACTACATTTCTGGCCTCTTCTGATCAATTCAGCAGACATTTGTCAGGTGCCTGCCATACACAGAGTGCTCTCTGAGTCACCTGGGGTTGTGGAGGGGGCGGGGTGTTTACTTCCACAAACACAGAGGAGGGCTGGCTTCCCACCTATCAGAAGTTTACCATCCAGTAAAGAAGAGTTCAGTTATCCTTTCTCCCAATCTGAATCCGCCATGGACTCTCACAGCTGCACTCTGCTGCTGTACTTTGATGGGAGCACTTTTTACACTTGGTTATGATGCTTTAAGAGAAGCCAGTGTAGGCATGTGGGAGGGCTAGCTGGACTTACAGTGTGGGTTCAGTTCTAGCTCTACCACTTACTAGCAGCTTCCTTTCATGTGTAACGTAGGGCCAACATTACCATTTGATTGGTTACTTGTGAGGAGTAAATTAGATAATGTATATAAAGTGCTTAAGTTCAATGTCTACTATATAGTGTTTAGTCAGTATTAAGTATTATGATTTTTGTCAATAGTCTAAATTTCTACTACACCATTAGCAACATGAAGTCAGGATATACATCTGTCTCATTTCTGTATTACCAGTGCCCACACAGGGATTTACCCAATGGATAGATGGGAGAGAGGAATAGATGTCTGCAAGTAAGCATAATACAAGGCTGAATATGTTCAGTGCCAAAGCAACATGCAAACACTCCAGGAGTGGAAGTTGGGGAAGCCTTTCTGGAGAATGCAGCCTTTTAGTTAAGTCTTACAGGATGAGGAGTAATTTGCAAAGTAAAACTGAGAAGTGGACGCAGAAGGGCATGGGTTCAAAGCGCAGCGTGACTGAAAGGGAAAAGGCTGAAAAGGCATATGTCCTGGGAGGGATAGTCAGTGTGCCCATGTGGAGGCCATCTTACCCCTCTGGGAAACAGAACAGGATAATCAGTTTGTGGCCCACGGAACTGCTGATTTCAGTTAATTCAGAACATCTCCAGAGGAGGGAGGGCACTCTGATGCATTATCTGTGCTCTGCCTGCTTCAAGGTGGTCTGTTTGGTGTCAGCTTCCCATTGATGATACATACATTCCCAATCCCAGTCTCAGCAGTTTGGGTAGAAGTCCCCGACCTCAGGAGACCAAGCTGATGAAAGAAGCGCCAAATAGAGTGTGGTTCCTATAGGCTGCCTCAAAATATCTGCCACACACCTAAAGCTTCACCACCGGAGTCATTCCTATGGAAGGGCGAAGGTTCTTCTTTCTTGATTCTCCCAGTCCCTTAGCATATAAGCTTCCTGAGGCTGCCGTAACACAGTAGTGCAAGCAACTGAGTGGCTTAAAACAGCAGAAATTTATTCTCTCTGTTCTGAAAGCAAGAAGTCTGAAGTAAAAAATGTCAGCAGGGTCACGTCCCGCCCACAAAGTCTCCAGCTGGATATCCTCCCTTGCCTCTTTCAACTTCTAGTAGGCCTAGGCATTTCTTGTCTTGCAGCATCAAAAGTTTGATCTCTGCCTCCATTATCCTATGGCTTCTCCCTGTGTGTGTCTCTGTCTTTTCCTTTTATACAAGATTAGGGCCCACCCTCATTCAGTGTGACCTCATCTAACTTGGTTACATCTGCAAAGACCCTATTTCCAAATAAGATCGCATTCATGGGTGCTGGGCATTAGAACAGCATATCTTTTAAAGGGGCACAATTCAATCCACAACACTTAGTTAATGCTTGTACTCTTGAGGGTCATTTAAAAGCTGAGGTAGAAGCAGAAAAGAAAAACACACTAAGATACATTATAATCAAACTGCTGAAAAGCAAAGATAAGGAAGAAAACCTTGAAAGCAGCCAGAGAAAAATATATTACATTTAGAGGAATAATGGTATTAACACAGCCAACTTCTCATCAGAAATAATGGAGACCGTAAAAGGGTCCTCAGGAACCAGAATATGTGTGGGGCCTTTCAAAAGGCCATGGTAATTGTTCAGGTTTTTTTTTTTTTCTCTTTTTTGGGTTTGTTTTTTTTTTGTGTGGGTGTGGTTGGTTTTTTTGTTGTTTGTTTGTTTGTTTAAGTGTTCAGGATTTTTTTATAAGTGTGATGGGAAGTTTTGAACAGGGTGATGAGATGACCCAGTGTACATTGGAAATCGTGAAGAGAAATTACAGATTCTGTTTACTCAAAATCCTATGGTTAGTAAGCGGAGGAGCCGTGAGTCAAACCCTGGCCTCCTGGTACTTTCTAAGACCATTTCGTATTGAATGATGCCAAGCCACATCTGTCAGGTCAGACCATAGAGGGCTTCTCATGGAGGCTCATCTTTGAAAGCAGTTGCCTGTAGAAGTTGTCCCTGACTTGGAAAGGTGAGTCGGTACTAGTGGAGACAGGAAATCACACAAGAAGGGAGGTCAAGAAGAGAAAATGGAGGGGAAGATAAGGGAATGTTTCCAAGGTCAGCAGAAACTTCACAGTGCAATCTGCAGGCATCCTTCCTGTGGCCCTCGCCATATGATTAACAGTCCTTTTTGTTTTGTTTGTTTTTTTTTTTTAACAAAGCAGGATGCCCAAGAATACTTCCTTGCTTCTCCACAGCTGGCCTAGCTTGGGTTTCTCAATGACTGGATGTGATTTAGCATTCTCCTTCATTCTGTCCCCCAAAGAGGCCTTCACTTTTTCCTAAACAACTTTTATGCAGAAAACTGCCCACTCTTCCAGCCCCCAATTCACATAACAGGTCTCACTTCAGAGGCTTGCTAGGACTCTGAAGAGCTTTCCAATGCAGAAGCCCCTGCCTGCCCTCCCCCACAGGGTCCAGCAATATAGACCTACCTTCTGACTCACCGACTTCCTTCCGTCCGTCCGTCCCTCCACCCCTCCACCCCTCCACCCCTCCATCCCTCCATCCCTCCATCCCTCCATCTCTCTCTCTATCCCTCCATCCCTCCATCTCTCCATCCCTCTATCTCTCCATCCCTCCATCCCTCCATCTCTCCATCCCTCCATCTCTCCATCTCTCCATCCCTCTATCTCTCCATCCCTCCATCTCTCCATCCCTCCATCCCTCCATCCCTCCATCTCTCTCTCTATCCCTCCATCCCTCCATCTCTCTCTATCCCTCCATCCCTCCATCCCTCCATCTCTCTCTCTATCCCTCCATCCCTCCATCTCTCCATCCCTCTATCTCTCCATCCCTCCATCCCTCCATCCCTCCATCTCTCTCTCCATCCCTCCATCCCTCCATCTCTCTCTCTATCCCTCCATCCCTCCATCTCTCCATCCCTCTATCTCTCCATCCCTCCATCCCTCCATCCCTCCATCTCTCCACCCCTCCATCCCTCCATCCCTCCATCTCTCCCTCTATCCCTCCATCTCTCCATCCCTCTATCTCTCCATCCCTCCATCCCTCCATCCCTCCATCTCTCCACCCCTCCATCCCTCCATCCCTCCATCTCTCTCTCTATCCCTCCATCCCTCCATCTCTCCATCCCTCTATCTCTCCATCCCTCCATCCCTCCATCTCTCCATCCCTCCATCCCTCCATCCCTCCATCTCTCTCTCTATCCCTCCATCCCTCCATCTCTCCATCCCTCTATCTCTCCATCCCTCCATCTCTCCATCCCTCCATCTCTCCATCTCTCCATCCCTCTATCTCTCCATCCCTCCATCCCTCCATCTCTCCATCCCTCCATCTCTCTCTCTATCCCTCCATCCCTCCATCTCTCCATCCATCTCTCCATCCCTCCATCCCTCCATCCCTCCATCTCTCCATCCCTCCATCTCTCCATCTCTCCATCCCTCTATCTCTCCATCCCTCCATCCCTCCATCTCTCCATCCCTCCATCCCTCCATCCCTCCATCTCTCTCTCTATCCCTCCATCCCTCCATCTCTCCATCCCTCTATCTCTCCATCTCTCCATCCCTCTATCTCTCCATCCCTCCATCTCTCCATCTCTCCATCCCTCTATCTCTCCATCTCTCCATCCCTCCATCTCTCCATCCCTCCATCTCTCCATCTCTCCATCCCTCTATCTCTCCATCTCTCCATCCCTCCATCTCTCCATCCCTCCATCCCTCCATCTCTCCATCCCTCCATCTCTCCATCTCTCCATCCCTCTATCTCTCCATCTCTCCATCCCTCTATCTCTCCATCCCTCCATCTCTCCATCCCTCCATCCCTCCATCCCTCCATCTCTCTCTCTATCCCTCCATCCCTCCATCTCTCCATCCCTCTATCTCTCCATCTCTCCATCCCTCCATCTCTCCATCCCTCCATCTCTCCATCCCTCCATCTCTCCATCTCTCCATCCCTCCATCTCTCCATCCCTCTATCTCTCCATCTCTCCATCCCTCTATCTCTCCATCTCTCCATCCCTCCATCTCTCCATCCCTCCATCTCTCCATCCCTCCATCTCTCCATCTCTCCATCCCTCTATCTCTCCATCCCTCCATCCCTCCATCTCTCCATCCCTCTATCTCTCCATCCCTCCATCCCTCCATCCCTCCATCTCTCCATCCCTCCATCTCTCCATCTCTCCATCCCTCTATCTCTCCATCCCTCCATCCCTCCATCTCTCCATCCCTCCATCTCTCCATCTCTCCATCCCTCCATCTCTCCATCCCTCCATCTCTCCATCTCTCCATCCCTCTATCTCTCCATCCCTCCATCCCTCCATCTCTCTCTCTATCCCTCCATCCCTCCATCTCTCCATCCCTCTATCTCTCTATCCCTCCATCCCTCCATCTCTCCATCCCTCTATCTCTCCATCCCTCCATCCCTCCATCTCTCCATCCCTCCATCCCTCCATCTCTCTCTCTATCCCTCCATCCCTCCATCTCTCCATCCCTCTATCTCTCCATCCCTCCATCCCTCCATCTCTCCATCCCTCCATCCCTCCATCTCTCTCTCTATCCCTCCATCCCTCCATCTCTCCATCCCTCTATCTCTCCATCCCTCCATCCCTCCATCTCTCCATCCCTCCATCCCTCCATCTCTCCATCCCTCTATCTCTCTATCCCTCCATCCCTCCATCTCTCCCTCCCTTTTGCTTTTCTTGTATAGGAAAATTGTTTGCTTCATATCCTTTAAAACAGTGAACGGCCCCAAAGCAATGAATGAGTCAACATACCTTTGGTTAAAGTGGGCTGGGTTGGTAGGAGAACAGAGGAAGAGCCATTTTTCTGTGTTTTTGGCTTTGAACACTTTGAATTAACTTTCTTTCATTTTCTAATGGATTCCCTTTGGAAATGTTGTTGGAATGGCACTTGGGTACTCGGCATGCTTCCTAACATAACTAAATCTGTTCATCTCATGAAAGATGACCATAGATGTTTATTTCACTATACAAATCCTGCTTTAACACTGATAAATGAACCCAGATATGCCATGTTCTTTGTTTTAGATCGTTCCTTCTATGAATCTTTGAGAGGAAACTTATCTCTAGGCCAGCAATAGAAAGCTTCTGGAGTCACCCTTGGGTTGACTAAACATCTTTTAAAAGAAAAGAAAAAAATTTGCATTTTGTGTGAAGGGCTGTGTCTGGGTTAGAGAAGGAACAGTAAGTTCAAAAGCTTGAGTTGACAAGGAACAAACTGAGAACTTGAAAGTCAATTCTTCTGAGTATTTTGAGATCTTCAGAGATGAGCTGTTTAGGAATAGAGTGACCTCTTTTTTCTTGTAGAATAGTCTGCATGATATTACAGTATTTACGGCTCAGCCTCTTTTAGCTCTATTCAGACAGCTGTAGGCCACTGTGGCCCACATTTGTGCATTCGTTCAGCATTTGAAGACAATTAAAATTTCTGAAAATCACTGTTGAAGATTTCAATGTAATGTGTGATTTGGCACACAAGAAAGGGGGAGACAATGCCCTGAGACCAACTCCTTGGCTGCCACTAAGGAATGTTATTTCTGTTCATTGTCCCATTTTCAGCAAGCTTCAACTATAGATGTTTTGCCTAGTTCTCCACCCTGTAGATTCCAGCAAAGACTTTAGAGGTAGCTAGTGAAGGTGCGCCCCCTGCCCCACCACCCCAGTCTACGCTATTGCTGAGAGGAGCTGTTGAGCTCCCTGAAGCAATAATAGACTATATTGCTGGTGATTTTCTCCCAAATGAAATTTCCATTTTAAGTTGGTAATACTCCTGAAAACACAGGCCTCATAGTGTTGGCAGACACTGTGCAGCAGAGATCAAACCCACATTTCTTCCCCTTCTCTAAGGTGTCACAATATTGATAAGACTGCCTCCTCTACCCTAATGAAGCATCCTCTAGAGTTTCCTACTCCCCTCAAATTAAATTGAGGCTCTTTAGTATAGAAATCTCAAGGCTTTTCTGGAAATTCAGTGAATTTTCCACCTCATCTCACCAGTTACCATAATACTGAGCTGCAGTTACCTGCTGTCCTTTCATGTTAGAGACCACACTACTTGTTCCCCAAGGATGTCTTCAGCATCTTGGCCCTCCCCAGTTTGGGCTTACTAGACTCACAGCCTGCCTTAAAAGCCCAGCATGAGTAGAAGTCTGCTTTGACCCTCTAGCCTCCCAGGACCCCCTAGCTGAACTCCTTGCGACACTTTATCACTTTATTTTTGCACCCTGAGCTCTTTGGATACAGGCTAACCTCACCTACAAATACAGACCAATGCTTTTGTCACTGTCATAGATCCTTCACCTGCTCATTGTTGCCTTAGAGCAGTGACCATGCATTCATTCAACAGATGTTTGCTAATTTCCTACATGTGCCACACTGTGCTCACCACTAGAATGTAAAGATGACCCAACAGCATGGACTCTGCCCTGTGGAACTTACCTGCTAGCAAGTGGTAACTTCCATCTTTTGTTGAATGCCCACTAGGTGCTAGTCACTAAACTAAGCACCCTTTTTCTCCCAGATAATCTTTGCAGCTTAAAAGAGGTGAGTTTTTCATATCATCCTTTTACATATGAGGAACCTGAGACTTAGAGATGGCAAGTCGTTTGCTCAGAGTCCCACACCTAGTAAGGATCAGCGTGAGATCACGACTTGCAAGTCCACAGTCAACCCTCATGAGGCCGCCTCCTGGTGTTAGCACCCATATACTGAGTGAGTCAGAGGACTAGGGAGATGCTACATGTTCTCTATCCTTCTCCTTCATGGCATCATGTTCTGTTTCCACAGATTGAGCCATACATGCCATATGAATTTACATGTGAGGGGATGCTACAGAGAATCAATGCTTTCATTGAAAAACAGGTAAGGCTTATCAGAAGTCAGTCTATCTTTGCTGTGTACTGCTTCCTGTGACCCCATAGGGCTCTCAAGAACACTTAAGAGTTCACTGTGTTTCTGTGGCTATTTTCTTTTTTTTTTTTTTTTTTTTTTTTTTTTTTTAGGCGGAGTCTCGCTCTGTCGCCCAGGCTGGAGTGCAGTGGCGCGATCTCGGCTCACTGCAAGCTCCGCCTCCCGGGTTCCCGCCATTCTCCTGCCTCAGCCTCCCGAGTAGCTGGGACTACAGGCGCCGCCACCACGCCCGGCTAATTTTTTTGTATTTTTAGTGGAAACGGGGTTTCATTGTGTTAGCCAGGATGGTCTCGATCTCCTGACCTCGTGATCCGCCCGTCTCGGCCTCCCAAAGTGCTGGGATTACAGGCTTGAGCCACCGCGCCCGGCCTCTGTGGCTATTTTCCTGCTTTGGGAGACTCTAGGAGCTGGATAATAGTAGCACTGTCATGGTCACCCAAGAGAACCAGTATTCCCTTGGAGTAGGTATGTTCTTGATGACATGTAAGGTGAAATGGAAACTTACAAGAGAGATGGGATGATTACTGTGAAGATTCCCCTGACCCTCAGGGTCTGTGCCCTGAGTGGGTTCTGAGACCCATTAGGAACACTTGGGACGGGAGGGGTCAGACAGCTTTCTGGTCCTGCCCCATCTTCATTTGTCACCTTAAGAAAGGCAAGAATTGAAACCAGCTGTTTCTAAGCATTATTTTAATAAAACATGTTCAGCAGTTCTAAATGTAAGGACTTTTTAGAGGAAAGCAGGACCCTTTGTCAAATGAAACCTTATAAGTATATAAAACAGATAAAAAGCAGGACAAAGCCAAGGAGGGTGCCAAGAGTCCCACTTTCCCCAACAAAGTTGGGAAACTGCAGCATGTGCTCCTTGAAGTAAAGACCAGGAGCCTGTTGCTGTCATTTTATAGCATTTTAATTCCTTGGACTTCAAAAGCAACACAGAGCTAGAAATAGACAGACTCAGAACCCCTGTGGGTAGGAGAATATGAACTCTTTGACTAGATTCCAGAAATAAGGTGCTCTTCTTAAAGGATAAAGCATTTTTAAGGCAATCAAGGGATCTTTACACAATAGGGGATGAGGATGGTGCAAGCTGAAAATAGAAATGGTGTATTGAAAATCTAAGTAGGCCCAAGGTGGGCTTCAAAGGAAGAGTTGGTGGTTTGAGGAGACTGAAACTGTGGCGAGCAGCCAGCAGCCCTGGGTGCTGCCGTTGGAGCTGGGAGTCTTGGTCATATCCTTTGGGGCGGTGTGTCTGATATGCTGAGCTTTTGTTAGCAGCAAGAGGGCATGCTCTGCAGCCTGGCCATGTGGGTTTTACTCCTGGCACCATGTGTTTCTATTTATATGACTTGGGCATGTTACTTGGCCTCTCTATGCCTTACTTTCCTTGTCTGTAAAATAAGGATAATGCTAATAGGACCTACTTCATAGGGCTGATGTGAGGATCGAATGAGCTAATACGTACAAAGTGCTTAGAACAGAGCCTGGCACATACATAGTGCTCAATAAATGCAAACTGGTACTGTTGATTATTTAATACATTATGCTATATTGTATTGTAATACACTACTTTTTAATATAATTATCTGGTTTCACGAGAAACCATTTGAATCTTTATCTCATTCAGCCTTTATATGACACCAGAATGATAGTATCATCACAACTCTAGCAACCACATCCATACAGATTTTGTGCCAGCATGTGCCTGACACATCATAATATATCATTTAATTCTCACAGTAATTCCAGGAGGTGGTAGTAGTAACCCCATTATCTGGGTGGTGGAAACCAAGACTCACAGTTACAGGCTCACAGATTGTGGAATCAAGAATTGATACTGGTTTGATATGAGGCCAAGTCTGCACCAACAGTGCTTACCAGGACCTCAGGAGACAGAAGGTGTCCAGAGCTTTGCTTCCCATCTTCTTACATCATCAAGGGCTGCTCACCCTTCCTGCAGCTGCAGGGAAGAGTTGCAGGGCCTCCTTCAATTGTAGGTCTTAAGACATCACAGCTCTTGCCACCATCTCGGCGGCTCTCTTGAGATCATACTAGGATCCCTGCAGCTTCTGCTGAAACCCTCTTTGCCTGTCTCCACTTCCTCTTAGGGAAAATAGTTACCCAACCGCCAGGCATAAATGACTCTTGATCAGGTTTATTTGAAGGCTTTTATTTCTCCCCTGAGGCTCAGGAATCCCAGCTGGTCTTTAAAAGTTATCAGGTCCTCTGCAAGTCTTGCTGCGTTTCCTTTCAAACAGGAAGGTCCTGTTCCCCAAATAGACCTTGCTAAATGCTCCATAATGCAGAGGCTCCACCTGGCTTCACCTCTGTATCCCTAGTAACCTGCTGGACACATGGTCGGTGCACAGTAACTTCCAGGTGACAGAAACAAGGAAGGAAGGAGGAAGGGAGGGAGGGTGTGCTTTTTATTCCTGTGTGTCAGGAACCAGGAAGCTCATCCTGGACTTTATGATTTGTGTAATATATGTTACCAAAATTGTTTGCTGGAAAGCATGCTAATAAAACTGCACACCCCCCACCCCCACCATATAGGCCTTTCTGCAGAGATCTGCAGTTCACAGAAATCCAGAGGTTTCTTTTTTGCCTGCTGTTGTTGATCATTCCTCTACTCTGAATATTTGTCAGCTGGAGCATGCCATGGGCTGTGCAGTCAGTTGGGGAGGAGAATATCTCCAAGTCCCCATCCCTGCCCTCAAGTAGCTGCAAGTTTCATGGAGAAGGCAGCCAAGTCCACAGGCAGTAACTGCCACTGCTGTAGGTTCACCCTGGTAATAGTGAAGTAACAGGATGCTTTGGGATCATATGGCCCAGCCTGCAGAGGGAAGATGGGGGAGAAATGGTAGAGTGTATCCGAAGGCATCTTGCAGGAGGCGAGTCCTGAAGGCAAACTGGTAGCACAGATGGAAGGCTGGACAAGTCCAGATATAAAGGCCTGGAGATGTGGGGAAAATGTCATGGGGAATGATAGGCACTTGACTGAAGAGAGGGATGAGGTAAGAGACCAGGCTGGAGGAGGAGATTACAGAATGTGAAAAGATGCTGAGGCTCAGCTGAAGAATTCCAGTTTGATTCTGGGATAATAGGAAGCTAAAGAAAGGCTTTGTTGCAGACTAAGGGGCAGTGGAACTATCAGATTGGTGCTTAGAAAAATCATTCCAGGAATCTGGTTTTAGGGGCATTTTTTATTAAACATTCTCCAAATGCTCCTAAATGAGCAATAAAGGGGGCCTATTTTGAGTTTATCTCAGAGATTCTGTTAAACCCAGAATGTTCCCCTGATGCCAGAAGGAAGATAGGAAGCCAAGATCCCATTGGTTCACAGATTGAGTCTTCTACCTCTTTTAGCTCCAGACCCCAGTGTTTTATAGGTTGGAGTATTCATTATTTTTTGCAACTAGACGAGTATCTTCAAAGGGCAGCGAGGATGGAGAGGAAGTTTTCCTGGTATGAACGCCTGCAGCTCCTAGGAGGCGCTTCCCATCCCTTGGATGGTAGGAGCCCTGCAGCCCTAATTAGGCTGATATCTGCCTTCAGAGTTCTCCATGTGATCTGCAAGGAGAACACAGAAGCTTTTACTCCAGAAACCTTTCAGGGTTGTCCGTCATGCTCAGCCAAGGCAGTGGGAACCAGAGGGAGCCAACAGACAGCAATCGAGGGCACTCCGGGCTTCAGTGTGCAGTTGAGCAGTTGCCAGCAGGAAGCCCACCTCACACCCAGCCCTCCCTGTGTGCAGGCACCCAATGAGAAAGACTCCTGGATCTAGGAAAACCACTTGCTCCTTTCTCTTAATGTCCCCGCTTCCTTTACTGTATTAAAAATGTTGATTCAGAGTGCATGCTCTTTTAAATCAGCTTTCTCAGAGAGATGCTGTCTCTAGCAGGGGGAAATTCTTTGTAATCTAAGATTAAGCACCATTGTTCCCTATCTTGAGTATGTCTGGGCTTGTTAAGGTTTTCGTTATGCATTTCTTGGGAAAGTCTTTTGTATTAGCCTCAGGTCAGAGAGTATAGCAGGACTTTTTTGAAGGAATGGCAATTTCAGATTAATTTATTAAAACCATACATACGCTCTTGAGTTCTATTTTCTATTTCCTGTAAAGACACTGTAAATGTATAGGATGGTCACAGCCATGTTAATTTGTGAAGAGCTATGTGATTCATGGGAAAAGCATTCTGGAGAGATGGAGGGTAAAAAAAGAGTTAACTCCAAGAATGGCTGTGGAATCAGCTGAAGGTCCTAGGATGTGTATTCATCAGAGCCCAAAATAAGCCCACTATGGAGTGTTGTAGATGCAAGGATTGTAGTGTTGTAGATGCAAGTGTTGTAGATGTTGTTATGAATCTGGATAGTCCAAGGGTGGGAGAAATGGTAGAGGTGACAGATTGCAAGGAAAGAGGGAGAAATTGAAAAGGGAAGAAGGTTGGTACTAGCTTGAGGAATGTTTACTCTTGAGAAATAAATAGCTTTTGTTTACCCAGCCATTCCTGTACCCAGAGAGACTAGGCAGGTAATGATTAAGCACTGAACCCTAGCAGCTGACTGCCTGGGTTCACATCTTAGCTCTGCTTGCCACTGTGTTTCTGACCTTGGGCAAGTTACCTAACATGTCTGTGCTCTTTCCTCTTCTGAGAAATAGGGATAATGCAACCTACCCATCAGGCTGGTGGAAGAAAGGGTAGTTTGATAATGTTTAGCACTAAGAACAATGTCTGGCCCATGTGGGTGCTCTCAAAGCCTTTGCTACAAGTTGCCGCAGGAGCCCAGAAACCGACTAAAGTGTGTTTTTCAAACTGGCTCACTGAGGTATAATGTACAGACCATAAAGTTCACCGCATATAAGGATGCAAGTCAATGATTTTTTTTTTTTTAGCAAATTGTTAGTGTTACACAACTACCACCACACTCTAGTTTAGCAGCATTTCCATCACCCC